GGGTCTCACTAAGTTGCCCAGACTGGCCTTGAACTTCTTATCCTTCTGCCTCAGCCTCCTGTGTCACTGGAATTACTGTTAACTGGTATCTGTTACTGTGTCTGGCAGATAAAACTTTTTTTTTCCTCCAGTGCTGGGGATCAAACTCAGGACCTTGTGCATGATGTTAGGCAAGTGCTCTGCCCACTGAGTTATATCCCAAGCCCCTCAGATGAAACATTTTAAAAGAAAATTTTATTCTTTTTTTTTTTTTTTTTTTTTTTTAACATTTACTTTTTAGTTCTCAGCGGACACAACATCTTTGTTTGTATGTGGTGCTGAGGATCGAACCCGGGCAGCACGCATGCCAGGCGAGCGTGCTACCGCTTGAGCCACATCCCCAGCCCAAGAAAATTTTATTCTTAATCATGAATAAATACAGAACTACTTTAGGACAAAGAACCAACTCTTCTTTCAATGATTTACTCTTATTTGGAGAAGAGTTTTTAATTCTACATGGATAATACAGTATTTCATGTAATCTAGAGTTTGACAATGTGAATATTTTCAAACAACTAAAGAATTTCAAGAAAACAATGATAAGGAGCTGGGATTATAGCTCAGCTTGCCTCACACATTCGAGGCACTGGGTTTGATCCTCAGCACCACATAAAAATAAATAAAATAAATAAAGATATTGTGTCCATATTTTAAAAATCTTTAAAAAAAAAGAAGATTAAACACTTTAAAACCAAATCTATAATAGTTCAGGAGTCAAGTTGTACAGAGCTGCTTATCATGATTCCAAATTCAGCCTCTAATGGTGTAGATTTCCACTGCTATAAACAGAGTTCCCACAGCTGGTCCTTCAGGAAATACTTCCTGTCTAAGGAACAGCTTTTGTTGGACCACACAGGTGTTTCCTCTCTCCTCCCACCCGCAGAACCAGAATCCAAAGGTTCTTTTGTCAGTCATACAAAGGTGCCCTACAATCAGGGGTAGAGGGCCAGGAAGAAGTTTCTGGTCTCTAAGTAAAATAGGACTTTTTTTATTTTTTCCTTTTGACTTATAATGTTTTCTCACAACAGCCTGTGTATCCTTCTACCTTATTTGCACACTCCTTTCTGGAGAATGCATTGCCATAGTTCTTTGAGTTTCAGCTAAATGGTCTCTGGGAATATGGACTGATCTCTTTTTTTTTTTTTTTTTTTTTTTTTTTTGGGGGGGGGGGGAAAAATTTTTTTTTTTTTTTTTTTTTTTTTTTTTGAGAGAGAGAGAGAGAGAGAGAGAGAGAGAGAGAATTTTTTAATATTTATTTTTTAGTTTTTGGTGGACACAACATCTTTGTTTGTATGTGGTGCTAAGGATCAAACCCGGGCCGCACGCATGACAGGCGAGCGTGCTACCGCTTGAGCCACATCCCCAGCCCTGGACTGATCTCTTAAAGGCAGTGATTCTTCCATACTTCAGCAGGGTATCTCCGACTTAGTACTTCTCCTGGTGGTTCCTATACTGAAGAATAGGTCCTAAAGGAAACAGCTCTTTTCTGTGGAGAGGCTCTTGTCTGGCCCTCTACAAGACAGAATTGTCCTGAGCTGGGCCACCACAACCCTCAGCTACATGGAACAGAAGAGAAACATCTTCCCAATAGCTCTTTACATGAATAAAGTAGACATCAGACTCATTTTCCTAAATTAGCTATTTTCTCTAATTAGCTTCCTCTAATCTCTGACTGAAGTACTATATCTTGTCCAAAAAGTAGTCATTTATTAGAAAATGCAATCAAGTAAATAAAGCTATATATAGGTCAATGGTGCCAACCTAAATGGTGATTTCAGATGCTAATCTCCTGATCTTACCCAACTTTGGCAATTTTTTTTCCCCCTTTTTTCTCTGAAAGATGAAAAGACCAAACCAGTACATTTGAGTTGTTGTTGTTATTTTATTGCTAATAAGGAGATAAACAGAGCTGGAGAATGAAGTTACTAGAAAGAGATTCCACTTATACCAGCACAGTCAGGAGAGATCTCTTGGAGGAGGTAATCCTGGAGCTCACACCAGGAAGATGACAGGAGTGAGCCACATGAAGATCAGAGAGATAAAGGATTTCCAGGTAAAAGGAGGACAGAGTGCAAAGGTCTTAGACAAGAGGCAGTTTGGCAACAGAAAAACATCCACTACATCTGCAGAATCATTGGGCCAGGTCAAGGGCCCTGTCAAAATTATTTTGTAACTAGGTTTCCTGCAATATATACCATCAATCTGCAAAAGAAAAGAAAAATTCTTCCTTTTTTGAACCAAGGTCCTCATATATGCTAGGAAAGAAACCTATCATTGAGCTATATCCCCAGCCTAAGAAAGACTTTTTAATGCTATTCTTCTTTTGCTTTTCAAAATCTGGTCTAGGGGCTGGGGTTGTGGCTCAGCAGTAGAGCACTCATCTAACATGTGGAGGCCCTGGGTTCGATCCTCAGCACCACATAAAAATAAATAAAATAAAGGTATTGTGTTAACTACTTCTAAAATATTAATTTAAAAAAATCTGGTCTAAATTTTGCAGCACTGAAGAACTTTGAAAGTCACTGACTATTTTCACACATGTGCCTATACCACATCCTCAAATGTTTGAAAAGTCTGTTCTACTTGAGGTCACTCATGGAAAGCTGGGTAAAACTCCAGGGACCATCCAGCAAGAGATCTCTATTTTACCCATAGCCTTGGGTGAAACAGTCCTGAGCTGACCAAAGCCGATCTGCTACTGAAAAGAGTCTCTCTCTGAAAATGGATCCTTAGTAGGTCACATTAAATCACTGACTCTGATGAAAGGAATGAATTACTGTTCTCTTAATGAGACTTAATATTTGCTTATTTAATGCACACTCTACCTTACCTTTGTTACTCAAAATCTTACTAAATATAAAATTTATTAAGGCAAATAATAAAAAAAAAACTTCAACACATAACTAAAAAAAATTTTTAAAAAGAAAGAAATGTATCTTCTATTTTTTTCTCATCCTTCACACATACTCACCAGTCCAGCTTGGCCAAATAGAAGCTGCACAGCAGTCTTGCAGGCACCCCGCCATGTAGATGGGCACACCTGGTTCAGTACTTCAGTCACTGGAAAATCATCTCTGGGTGTAAGTCCATTATAGCAGCCTGCTTCCTTGATCAACTGTAACATTGTATGCTATAAATTGACAAAAAGAGTTCACATCTTAAAACAAAGCCATGCAAGGTTATAAAATTTATAGAAATGCATTTATATAATCATCCTCAAGAAAAAAGCATTTTAAGTACATCCAGATCATACCATTTGAATTTCTTAAGCAATTATCATCATGAGTCACCCTCAGAGATTTTCCAATCCCATGATGAATTGCTAGATATGAATACACATACATTAATAACAAACATGTGATTTCTACGTCAGCACAAAGTAAAAAATTATTTAGCAATCTCTTGTTGCAAACTGGTTGAAGAATTTGGAAATTCTGAATCCTTCCAAATAAGGAAACAAAATCATCTGGTAAAAGTAAATACCAATTGAAACTTCAACTTTACTTTGGATGACCAAATGGTCAGGTATGCAGGATCTACAAACAGGTTCCCATGACCTCAAATTCCAGCTCTACCATTTTCTAGCTCTATGACCTTGGGCCTCAGTTCCCCCATATCAAGTAAGAAAGGGCATTACCCACCTTAAAAGGAAGGATTAAATGAGATAATGCATGGGAAGCACTTAGCATAAGCCTGACATCCATGTTACTCCAAAAATGGCCACTATACTGCATTATTATAAGATTTCTCCTCCTACTTCTCAAAAGTCCATAAGAAATACTAATCATGGATAATATTTTACAATATACTTCCAAATCTTTTAGGTTAAACATTAAAATTTCTTTTTTTTTTTTTGAATGAAATTTCAATGAAACTTTTTTGGCAAATGTTTCATTAAAAATGTCACCAGAGGGGCTGGCGTTGTTGCTCAGTGGTGGAGCACTTACTTGTCTAGCATGTGTGAGGCACTGGGTTCAATCCTCAGCACCATATAGAAAAATAAATAAATAAAGTTATTAACAGGCTGGGGTTGTGGCTCAGTGGTACAGTGCTCGCCTAGCACGTGCAAGGCCCTGGGTTTGATCCTCAGCACAACATAAAAATAAATAAAATAAAGGCATTGTATCCAACTACAACTAAAAAAATAAATATTAAAAAAAAAATACAAAATAAAGTTATTTAAAAAAGTCACCAGAGGGCTGGGGCTGTAGCTCAGTGGCAGAGTGCATGCCTAGCACATATGAGCCACTGGGTTCAACCCTTAACACCACATAAAAATAAATAAAATAAAGGTATTCTGTCCATCTACAACTACCAAAAAAAAAAGTCACCAGAAGGCTCAGTTGTAGAGCACTCACACTCACCTAGCACGTGCAAACCCCAGGATCATCATTTTACCAAGAAAGGTCACAGCCTCCTTCTTTAACCTGTTTTGTTTTTTAATCTGTTCCTCACAAACCCTTAAGAACTCTTATTTCCAAGTTCACACTTGGCTGCTGAAACCCCATGGAACCCCATGGAAAGCTACCGTCTTAAGTTTCAGATTGTCCGCTGCCGACTCATTAAAGGAGACGCCCTTCAGGAAGTGTGATCCTATCTGCACAGGGACAGTGGGAAGCTCGCACTGCATGGGCTGTGGGGGTGTCTGCCTCCGCCCAGTCTGCTGGGCTTCCGCCTCACTGCAGCAACCCTGGAAAAGAAGAGAGGTTATCCATACCTCATCTGTCAAAACACTTGGTTCAGACTGGACCACATAAATATCCCTCACAGCTCCCAAGAGTTACCAGATAGAGAAATATAACTGTGGTGCTGTCTATGGCACACAGAGGGGCACAGAAGGCCCCCATAGGCCACTGCTTCCTCTCTTTGATCTAGTTCTACAAATTGCCAGCCCTCTGAACATTCTAGTCACTACAACCTACGCCTGCCAGCCTAGCACGCTCCCATTTCTATTGTCCACCATGTTAACAAACCATGTTCTCAGGTAGTGCAGACTACCAGAGCACCCAGTGTAAGATGGTATGGTTGGGGCTGGGGTTGTGGCTCAGCGGCAAAGCGCCCGCCTCGCACGTGCAAGACCCTGGGTTTGATCCTCAGCCTCACATAAGAATAAATAAGAGAAATAAAGGTAAAAAAAAAAAAAAAAAAGATGGTATGGTTTCCTCCCATCTACCATATACACACTCCTAAACATGTCCCCACCTTGTATTATGTTTCTCTATAGCTTTCTGCACCATCTGATTTCCAAATATTTGTCCCTCCCTTTTTGGTCCTCCCCTCCAATGCACTATAAACAGGGATGGGGTTCCTAAAACCAACCCAGGCATGTAGCAGGTACTGAATCAATACTTGCCAAGTAAATAAACACATGAAAGATAAATAAAGAAATAAAGGAAGGTAGGAAGGAAGGGACAAGAGAGAGAGACAGAGATGAAGGAAGGAAGGATGGCTGGAAGCAAGGGAGGGAGGGAGGAAAGGAAAGGAAAAGATAGGATAGAATACCTGCAAACTTGCTTCAATCGCCTTTGGATTTAGGTGGAAGCCAGCTTTCATTGCATATTCACAGTGGCCTAAACTTTCCAGAGCTATCTTATATGCCTGCAAACAAATTATTTTCAGGAATCAAGATTATACAGCAGATTAGAATGACAAATCTAATGAAAATAGGAATTTAAAATTTTTAAGAGTTTTAGAAGACTTGAGGTCAATTACAACTTTATTATTCTAATGGTTCAACATCAAAACTAGTTCCTTGCCTTGGACATCAATATTCCAGCTTTGAAAAACTTACTTGCAAAGCACTGTCAATTTTTATGTTCAGTTCTTTTAGTTGGTGCTCAGGAATTGCTGCACTTTGAGAACAAAAGAGCTGCTGAACTTCAATTCCTGCCAGGCGACCATCACAGCCTCTTTCTCTTAATCTAGATGTTGCCTAAAATATAAAAATAGACTGGTAAGTAAAAAAGGATGTTACAATTACTAGCAAAATTAAACCAGTAATAACAAAAAAAATCCCAAAACCAAAATAAAGCAAGAGACCATCTAAGCATTAGATATAAGCCAGAGGTTCTGCATCATCCATGTAATAAAGCAAGCAGCCCAAAATTTTGAAAGCCTAAATTAATTATATCAAAGAGAAAGCAAACCTGATGTAACATTACTTTATCTTAGAAACACTGGAAAAAAGATTTACCTGTTATGTACATACATATAAACATTTACACATTTTTAATTTCCCTGCTTTAAAGATAGATAACCTAGAATACTGGCATTTGGAGTTTCCAGAAGAGAAAACAAAAGAATATATCTAGTTGAGTGAACTGAAGTAAAAAGCCATACCAATATAGCTGAGCACAGCAGGCCCATGGCTGTAATCCTAGTGATTCCAGAGGCTGAGACGGAGGTCACAAGTTCAAAGGCCAGCCTCAGCAACTTAGTGAGGCTTTAGTGAGGCCCTTATCAATTTATTTAGACCTTGTCTCCCCCCATTTTCAGTCAGTAAGTATGTTTATGTAGAGTATATAAGCAAGACAGGAAAAACAGGAAGAAATTATATCATGTTATGAAATGGAAACATAGATGTGGGTCAGGAGTAGAAGAAAATACAGAAAAATATATATTTGATTTATTAGAGGGGTGAAGGGATTAAAAATGAATTGTCTTTCAATTTTTAGTTTTGTTGCAATAGTATTTGTGAAACGAATAACATTTTTTAATAGTTTACCTTTGTTCTTCCAGGACAGGCTAGGAACTGTAATATTTATCAAACCTGTAGGACTACAAGAAAACAACTAACAGCTTCAATGTTGTCATATTCCAAAGGTTTAGTTTCACAAATTATATATAAATTACCATTTCCTGAATCCTAACAGTCTTACAGTTTAAAACCATTTGACCTTAGAATTGTTCACATGCTGGGCACAGTGGTGCATACCCATAATCCCAGCAACTCAGGAGGCTAAGCGGGAGGATCCTTAGTTCAAAGCAGCCTCAGCAATGGCGAGGTGCTAAGCATCTCAGTGAGACCCTGTCTCTAAATAAAATACAAAATAGAGCTGAGGATGTGGCTCAGTGGTCAAGTACCCCTGAGTTCAATCCTCGGTACCTGGCTCGAAAAAAAAAAAAAAAATTGTTCACTCAATGCCAGTTGCTCAGGAAATCGAGGCAAAAGGTTCCCAAGTTCAAGGCTAGCTTCAGCAATTTAGAAGACCCTATCTCAAAACAAAAAACTAAAAAAGGGTGGAGGGGCTTAGGTTGTAGCTCAGTGGTAGAATGCTTGTCCAGCATGTGTGAGGCACTGGGTTCAATCCTCGGCACCACATAAAATAAATAAATAAATAAAATAAAGGTATTGTGTCCTTCTACAACTATTTTTTTTTTTTAAAGGGTGGAGTGAGGTGGGAATATAGCTCAGAGGTAGAATGCCCCTGGGTTCAATTCCCAGTACCAAAACAAAAACAAAAAAAATATAATTCATTCAGATATTTTGGGGCTGGGGATATAGCTCAGTTGGTAGAGTGCTTGTCTCACATGCACAAGGCCCTAGGTTCAATCCCCAGCACCAAAAAAAAAAAAAAAAGAAAAAGAAAAAAAAGTGAAAAATAAATAATACAGATATTTTGCCGACAGGGGGTTATGTTGGTTATTTCCAGATACATTCTAGAGCACAAAACCTGGCCCCTACCCTCCTGGAGTTGATATGCTCATGAACCAAAAAGGCAGACAAAACAGAATTAAAAATCAGAAAACACACTGAGAGAAGCAAATATAGCACTGTAACAGGGAACATCCTAGATGCTGAAAAAAGGGCTGGGTAAGAAGGTAGTCAATGGAACTGCAGGGGTATGAGAGTGTGTCAGGACCAGCAGACAGGTACTAATACAGACCAAGGAACCAAGGTGAAGAATGAGACATAGTCAAGGATCTGTAGTCCAGTGACAAGGAGGAGAGTGACCAAAGAAGCTAGATATGGCAGGATTTGCGGGGTCCACAGCCCCTAAGGATATTAGAAACAACATCATCCAATTTTAAAATGAAAATAGCAAATCAAGGAGAGGAGAAAAGAGTCCTGAGTAGAAATAATGATCCTCTAAACTAGGGTAGTGACGGTAGACATGAAGAAGCCCCTGCTACAAGAAGAGTATTTCCCCCTTGGAGATACTGTGAGCAGCTGAATGCTCTGAAAATACAAAAGAAAGGCACATGTGACTTTGACAAGAGAAGACATGTTCTTATGTAAGAGTAGAATCCAGATTTCAGGGAGCTGAATGATGACATTTATGTAAAATTTCAAATTGTGCAAAATAATAGCTTATATTAAGTATGAATCCATGCACATATAGTAAAAATATAAAAATATACACAGAAGCCAGACTCCAAATTGACTTCAAAATTACTCTAGTGAGTAAAGGATGTGAATAAGGTAGCAGAGAGGTACAAAAGAGATTCAACTACAACTGTAATATTTTTTTTGGTTAAAAATAAAAGGCATGAGGTAAATGTAGCAAAAAAAAGTTAAGCTTCATTTGTTCAATATGCTTGAAATCCTTCATAATAATTATCTTTAGAATCAATCAAAGGTGACAAAAAGGCAGACAACTGATCCAAGAAGTTAGCTGTGAAAACAGCAGAGAAAAAAGGTGGAGAAATAAGGTGGATTTTCCTGTTTGAATGCTGGTAGAAACAGATGGAGAATGAAAGAGAGAAAATACAGGGTTCTGGGCTAAGAATGTAGCTTGGTGGTAGATAGCCTGACTACTAAGCATGTGATGCCTTGAATTCAATCTCTAGTACCTCCAAACAACCACCACCACAACCCAAAACAACACAGGGCCCCACCACAGAAGCCAGGCCCTCAAGGATGGGGGCCAAGTGGGGTTGGGGAAAGCTCTGGACTAGAGAATGCACCTCCTCTGTTGTCAGGAAGGAAGAGGATGGGTCTGAAGCAGAGCAGGGCAGCAGTGGGGAGCGGGGTGAGCAACAGCATTTTGGTAATGGGAGAAGAAAGGCTAATGTCAGGGGGATTCTATTTTCTCAGTGTAGTGGCGTAGGGGCACTAGGTGGAAACAAAGGGAGTGTGAAGAGGGAAGAAAAGACTAGAAAAACTAAAGTGGGTGGAGGAAAAGGTCAGGTGAGATGGTCAAGGGATCCCTAGAAGGTCTCATGTGGGGTGAATTTTCAGCATGAATGATGCCAGCAGATGGAGCAGAGAAGAGTGACCAGGTACTAAGGTTTCCAAATGTGAGGAGAATAGTCAGGAGGCTGGAGCCCAGAAGACAGGAGGACAGAGAGAGAGAGAGAGAGAGGTTGGTGAAGCCAAATGACAGGACAAAAGTCTCAACTGACCACCCATCAAAGTGAAAAATTATGTTTAACAGTTTTGATTAGGACTGGGAATATAGCTCAATGGTAGAGCACTTGCCTATTGTGTGCAAGGCCTCAGGTTCAATCCCTAGCACCACTAAATAAATAAATAAAATTTAGGATTAAAGGAGATTTCTAAGACATAAAATAAATACACTTCCAATTTAATTATGGAAATTTCAAACTAGACAATAAATCAAAATACTATTCCTTAACTATAAACTATCTTATACTCTGTGAAATAGCAGTAAGTCCTAGATAAAGTCACAGCTTTTTTTTTTCTAATACTAAAAACAAAGGATAGTATTACAATGTCTGCAAAAAATACATTGCCTAAGTTCTACAAATGGTGATTGTTCAGTAGCATTTACAAGCAATATGACTCAGTTTTTAGTCCCAAATGTATTTCTTCCTAATGCCCAGAATACTTTCTGGGTCTACCAACTTTGCTATATTCTCAGGGAGAGAAAATTAAAAATTAACAGCCTATATCAACCATCAAGAAGACCTGCATGCTGGACGGTGGGGCTGGACAGAAGAAAAAGCTTCTCAGCCACTCTTACCATCAAGGGGCCATGCTCCTAACTACCCCACAGAGGAATTGAGGGATTTCTTTCAAAACCAGGAAAACAGTCTAAATTTAATAACTTACAAAGTCTTAATGCACAGCCTTCCTCCAGGAAGTTAGCAAAAGTATGTTTTTCTATATGAGTATTTTAATTGTTAAAAGTAAAAAATAATAATAATAATA